TTTTATTATATCTTCAAAAATAAATTAATAAAATATAAAATTATAAAAAAATTATCATTTTTTTGTAACATACTGTATATATTAATTTTATTTAAAGATTTACTGATTAGATTGATAACATATTAATGTATTTGTTTAGTTTAAACAAAGATAAAATTTTTTCATATAATAAGGTTTAATAATTAACAATTTATTTTTATTATTATAAATATTTATTATTTAAGTTGCTTTAGATTTTTTTTTAATTATTTGATACTTTTTTAAAATTCAAAATTTGACTTTTATAATAGATAATTTTTTGATTTTATTTTATATAATATAAAGTAAGTGATAAATAAATACAGAAATTTTTTGTTTTAAATAAAAATCTCGTATCCAATATTAAATTTGTCATAACAAAAAGAATTAAAACTATTATTATAATTATATTTATAATGATTTGTTGATTAATATTTTAATATACGTACAATTAAGGAGTTATATTTTATATCGAATCTGTTTGAATATTAAAATCACAAGAAATTAAAAATATTTTTCAATAGGTATAAATTGAGTTTTATATAGCTATCTGATTTTTAATTAAGTACTCGAGTATTTTACTTACAGTAAAGCTTCATTAACAAACTTTCCCCCTATACTTCGTGCTTCTTTAATATTAATACAAGTTCCTTGTTAATCGCCGGTATTCCTTTTCCAAGTAATTTGTTTAATTATCAGGTAAGTTTACATTGTCCAGAGCATGTGTTATTAATATGACGATTATTTGTTATCTGAACAAATTATTAAAATAAAACACCCATACACTTTCTAAGTTTATATTTGAAAAAATTATAAGAGCAGCTTATAAATATTATTGTTTTTCTTGAGTAAAATTTCTGTAAATATAAAGAAACACAGAAAATCATCACTTTTAGTTTATTGAAGCCCTTGTTGAAATTTGCATTTACTGTTAGGTGAGCGTAGATGCGCGACGCAGCATCATTTCACGTAATCACGGAGTCTTTATAGGAAAAAATATGCCGAAAAATTAGCAGAGAAAGACGTATGTAAACAAGTGGCGCAAGGCTGTTGATTAAATTTAGCATATAATAGTGAGGAGGTAAAAAGCGAATTAAAAATATTGGGTTTTTATATTAGAATTAATGTTTAGTTTTGAATTCTTAATGGACAAATCGTTGAAAGTGTAAATTTTATTGAAACTTTTAGCAAGAAGAAGGGCACAAGTTAGCAATTATTAAGTACCGGCCATATTGAAATTAATTTAGGAGTTAAAGTATTTAATGTAAAAAATTTCCTAGGTTAGCGACAAAATCCCTGTTGTGACGACGAGGCTGCACCTGCTATACACAAAACTATCTATATTTATTAGTTACCGAAATCATTGTGTTTATTGTAAGTCAATTATTGGAATACTTATACAGAATCATGACTAAAAATGCAAATACTATCGGTAATTGAAAGGACAACTTGCAAAATTGATCGAACCATTAAATATTATTCCAAGTAATAAAATCGTAGATTCATATAGATTTCAAGCCTGCGAAAAATCACCATTACCAGAATATTATGGTACTCCGATTTATGATTTTAAATGGGATATAAACGGCCGTGGACCGAATATAAGTATTAGTGAAGACGGCTACACGATCAGCACTACTGAAAATATGACTGAGCATCAAAGTGTAAGAACAAATTGTCTTATGAGTAATGGAACTTATGAGTTTCATGTTCTATTCGAAAAAGTTTGTCTTAATTCTTGGGTAGGTGTTTGCGATGAAGACCTTGATTTTT